ATGATTTTTCCAGAGACAAGTCTTACTATTTAACCCATAGCTGAAAGGAGCAGATGAATTCATATCTTTCACAAGGGTATTTGTGTGTAAGTGCATATAATAAATTCAAACAGCTCTGATTTCTCATCCCATGCCAATATTCATTACACCATCTGCACATCCAAGCCATGATGAGGAAGCCTTAAGGAAAAGGTAAACAAAAAGGACACTTAAAATCATAAAAGAAGACAATTTAAATCTCTGGGACACAATGAGGAAAGAGAACTTGGAAAATCTGACATTCCCAAAATATATCAAAGGCAAAAAGGGGTCAATGGGAGGCAACAAAACAAGGAGTGGAAGGGATGATAAAAAAGACAAATATTAGTGTTACAAAGTATAGGAAGTTGTGGAGAGCCATGATCACTCATGTCCTGAAGAGATAGCATATAGAAGATCCTTGGACTATTTTACAGAATTCAGTTTTGTTCTCAGAAGCATGTCTTGATAAAAATAAAATAAAATAAAAACTCTGATATAAATTTGAAGGACCAGTATCAACAGTTCAAAGAATTTGGAAAATATTATTCTTTGTTTTAAATATCAAGAGAATTAACAATAGGGATTAATTTAAACAATAAAAATTAAAAGAATTTTTCCCTCCAATGTAAGAGTCTAAGAAAATTCCAGTTCAGTTAGGAATTTCCTGTGGGTTACACAGATTGACACACACCCTTGGGCACAACGACCAAAACACTGTGATAACAATGGCGAAGATGAGGACAATTATTTGCATGTAAATAGTGCAAATAAGAATATTTTAGTTTCTTTCTTCCCCCTCCAAGAAAAAAAAAATTGACAGCCTGGTGCCAAACAGAGCCAACGGGAATTTATGGGTTCTTTAAAGAACAAAGTAAATTCTTTAAGTGTGAAGTGTATTTCTTTTAAAATAAAAGACAATGAATTCATGAAAAAATTATTGCTATCATGTAACTTAATAGCAGGAAACTCAGTGGATTTACATTTATAAAAAGTTTCTACTCTGTATGTCTGAGGACATTTTATTTCTGCTCTTAGTCTGTGAAATGTCACTCAAAAGTTTGGAGTATTTGACTATAAAGAATAAATAATTATCCTTATATTTAGTTCCCCTCATTGGTGATCATGGCTCTCCACAATTTCCTGTTTTTTGTAGCTCTTAATAAATTTCATCTTCATTATATCTTCTACACCTCATTTCATGATCATTTACTCAAGCTTGTTAGGTAGGTTAAACATCATTTCCCTCTTGCCTTCAATCTGTCTGTTTGAGTAACAAATTTTCCAAGCCGTCTTTTCTCATATGTCCTAGATATTTCAACTATCTCTTCCTGATGTTAAGTGTCATTTTTGTTTCCATTTCCTTGAAAACTTTATTCTTACTTACATGTTCAATTCCTGGTATTCTCAGCATCCTTCTCTAGAAGAACATTTCTATTGTCCCAATCTCTTCTTCATCCAAGAGGAGATTGTCCAGTCATCAAATTAAAATGGTTCCTTTGGGCCTATCTACTAGGATCTTCCAAATGATAGCAGCAAAAATGTAGAACTTTTCTTTTTAAGATCCTGATATACAAATTGTATTTTCTTTATAGTGACAAAGATGAGGACAATAATAGTCAAAATAATGTAAATAATGTACATAATACCTCATTTCAGAAATATAGACAGATACTGAAAGGCCAAATGATGAGGACAATAGTCAAAATAATGTAAATGTTGTACATAATACCTCATCTCAGAAATATAGACAGATACTGAAAAATCGAAACATTGTAATAAATATGGCTACAAAGATGAGGACAATAGTCCAAATAATGTAAATAGTGTACATAATACCTCATCTCAGAAATATAAACAGATACTGAAGAAGGCTGAAACGTAATAAATTTGTGGACAATAGTCTGAATAATGTAAATAGTGTACAGAAGTAATATATGTTTGATTCCTCTTGAGAAGCACTGTTTTTTTTTGTTTTTATAAGACTTTAAATCTTTAGGCAGTTAAACATTAATTTCACAGTGAAAAATAAAAACACCCCACCCCATCAAAAAAAAAAAAAAAAATACACATTTACTCAAACATCTGTAGTCATTAAATGTAACATTTATAGTAGTAATAAATAAGAGTAAAAGTTTTACTTACATTGTCATCATGGAAAATCATAAAAACAAACTAGTGTGGATGTGTGTAAAAAGAATAAATTTTCAAAGAATACACAACATTTTGGTCATAGACTGATGCTTTGATCCAAACACGGTTTTCACCTTTCATGAATACCAAGAGACGTGTTAATATTTTATCAAAGCAACAAAGACATCAAATGAATTCAGAAGGAAATTAAAATAATTAGGAAATAACACAGTTTGATTAAAGCATCCAGAAAAGTTTACAGGAAAAGTACTGGGTTTTAGTATCTCAGGAAAAGTACTGGGTTTTAGTATCTCAGGAAAAGTACTGGGTTTTAGTATCTCAGGAAAAGTACTGGGTTTTAGTATCTCAGGAAAAGTACTGGGTTTTAGTATCTCAGGAAAAGTACTGGGTTTTAGTATCTCAGGAAAAGTACTGGGTTTTAGTATCTCAGGAAAAGTACTGGGTTTTAGTATCTCAGGAAAAGTACTGGGTTTTAGTATCTCAGGAAAAGTACTGGGTTTTAGTATCTCAGGAAAAGTACTGGGTTTTAGTATCTCAGGAAAAGTACTGGGTTTTAGTATCTCAGGAAAAGTACTGGGTTTTAGTATCTCAGGAAAAGTACTGGGTTTTAGTATCTCAGGAAAAGTACTGGGTTTTAGTATCTCAGGAATATTTAGAGAAAATGCCAAAAAATGCTGATGAAACAATGCTAAAAAAACAATTAAAAAAATGAAAACTGTTGTGGTGTTATTTTGCAGTGGAGGCTTGTATTTGTACTAAATCGGTCTTAAAATGGGTTCGACGTACGAAACGTTAGGAACTTGATATAATAGGTAATGATGCAGAGAAATCTTGTTGTGGCGGCCGATACTTTTGTATTTGACTAACTGTCGTCTGGCATCGACTGACTGGCCCCCTTGTTACTCTTACTACTCCTACTTATTATAAGTGGGAGAGTCTATTAACTATAGAATAGGCGTGTTCCACTATAACAAAAACACAAAAAAGTACACTAGAAAATAGAACATACACACAGAACAACACACAAAAAATATCACAGACACACATGCACGAAAAAAAGAAAAAAACATAATGCAAAATAGCACACAAAAATTATAAACAAAAAATATAGGTGATCCCAAAAATGAGCTAAAATCTTTTGTAAACTGGAGACAAGAAATGGTTTGATTTTAATGCCTCCAAGATGAAAATTCCATTTTAATTGTTTTAGAGAACCATTTTTGCCTTTTACCATCATAGCTGAAACAAACCTCTAGAAGAGTAACTCATTGTGCCTTCTCAAAGCTAACGTTTTCAGTTGACATGAAATAAAAAGATTATATTAAATCAATTGCTAGGTCTGCTGTTAGGAGGGTTTGTCCATGCTCGACAATTTTTCTTGCCAGAATTTATCTTACACATTTATAAGTGCTGCCACATCTAGTCTGACACCTCAGCTTCAGTCACTTTTCCACCACCATAACAGCCTCCCTGTACCTTTTTTATAAATACTTTCATTGTAATTGTTCTGACAAGCTTTCCTCTTTGTTACCTAGACAGTGCAGTGCTAGATTGGCAGTTAGGTCTCATCATTTTATAGTTGAAATTGCTAGATGTAACCATAAGCTCTATGCTAACAGTTTCTTTTGTTGCACTTTTTCCTTGTGAACCTTTTCCAGCTTCTTGCTTTCCAGTCAACGTTGATCTTCAAAAGTCTAAATACAATGTCAATTGTCATATTCTGTCTTCTCTATCCCTCTTCTTTTATTGTCCTCTCTTCTTAATAGTTTTCACCTTAATTTTCTTTTTTCTTATATTCTTTCACACTAACTCCTTGTATCTTAGTAGCTTTATTGCCTTGCTTGGAGTGAAATGACTAATAAAAAATACACACCTGTCTCTATTTCTGAGATGAGGTATTGTAACTATTTAGATTGTTTGGACTGTTTTTCTTATCCTTATTGCCATATTCACAATGTTTCGGCCATTGTACACTTTGGCCTTCTTCAGGATCTATATTTCTGAGATGTGGTATTGTAACTATTTAGATTGTTTGGACTGTTGTCCTCATCTTTATTGCCATATTTACAATGATTTGGCCATTGTACACTGACCTTCTACAGGTCATATTTGGAATTTTGAACCTTCCCCTATATTTAGTCCACAGTGGGTAGATTGTCCTAATTCCACATGCTATGCCTTTGGATATCTCAGTTTTAGTTAATTCACCTTGATAACTTCTTAAGTTTTTGTTCTCTCTTCTGAACTCACAACGCTGAGTCAAGTCACTTCTGGATCAATCAGCTAATATTTTTATTCACTGTAAACACACACAAAAACAAAGCCTTCCCCACCCAAAGACAATGAAGTAAAACAAATATAAATTAATACTTATCTTTTCACATAACCACACACAAGCAGTATGTATATATTATAAGATTTCAAGCAAAAAATAAATATTTTCAAATGTATATCCAGTATTGTTTAAGAAAACAGATGCCTAGAACTATTTACAAAGTTAAATATTTACAATGATATATAAATATGTATAGTTAGGCATTTCAGTAGAAGTTTAATTAATATTTTCCTTTTTCTCCTATTCTATTACACTCAGTAAACCCTCACATCTTGGTGACTTTATTGCCTTGTTTGGGGTGAAATGGCTAATAAAATCAAACACCTGAAAAAGAACATACAAATATGACAGGGACCCCACCCTTAAGACAATGAAGTAAAACAAATTTAATACTTAACTTTACACACATACAAACAGTATGCATAAAGTTTTAAGTGAAAGGAAAGTTTTCAAATATATATATATATATATATATATATATATATATATATACACAGAGAGAGAAGGAAAGAGGGGAAAGGAAAGAGAGAAGGAAAAAGGGAAAGAGAGGGAAAGGGAAAGAGAGGGAAAGGGAAAGAGAGGGAAAGGGAAAGAGAGGAAAGGGAAAGAGAGAGGGAGAGAGGGAGGGAAAGGAAAGAGAGAGGGGGAAAGGGAAAGAGAGAGAGAGAGAGGAAAGGAAAGAGAGAGGGAGGAGAAAGGGAAAAAGAGAGAAGAAGGAGGGAAAGGGAAAGAGAGAGAGGGGAGGGAAAAAGGAAAGAGAGAGAGGGAGGGGAGGAAAGGAAAGAGAGAGAGAGGAGAGGGGAAAGGGAAAGAGAGAGAGAGGGAGGGAAAAGGAAAGAGAGAGAGAGAGAGGGGAAAGAGAGAGAAGAGAAAGGGAAAGAGAGAGAAAGGGGAAAGGGAAAGAGAGAGAGAGGAAAAGGAAAAGAGAGAGAGGGAAAGGAAAGAGAGAGAGAGGAAAGGAAAGAGAGAGAGAGAGGGAAAGGGAGAGAGAGAGAGGAAAAGGAGAGAGAGAGGGAGAGAAGAGAGAGAGAGGGAAAGAGGGAGAGAGAGAGAGAGGGAAAGGGAAAGAGAGAGAGAGAGGGGAAAGGGAAAGAGAGAGAGAGAGAGAGAGGGAAAGAGAGAGAGAGAGAGAGAGGGAAAGGGAAAGGGAAAGAGAGAGAGAGAGGGAAAGGAAAAGAGAGAGAGAGGGAAAGGGAAAGAGAGAGAGAAGGGGAAACAAAGAGAGAGAGAGAGGGAAAGGGAAAGAGAAGAGAGAGAGAGAAAGGAAAAAGAAAATCTTTTTTTTTTACTGAAAAGAGAGAGAGAAAGGAAAAGAGAAGGAAAGAAAGAGAGAAAAAGAAAAAAAAAAAAAAACACAAAAGAATAAAAAAACACAAAAGAATAAAAAAAAAACAAAAAAAAACAAAAGAAAAAAAAACAAGAAAAAAAAACAAGAAAAAAAACCCAAAGAGTACTGGAAATTTTTACATATTTACAATGATATATAAATATGTGTAGTTTGGCATTTCAGTAAAAGCTTTACATGAGTTTATTAAATCCACTGTACAAATCTCATTGTCTAAATATAACTAGCTTTTAATCCAACCAATGTTTTGTTTTTAAATCAATCTATGGTACTTAGAATATTTTGATAGTGTTTAAGTGGGTCAGAAGTAGTTTATTTAGCTATTGCGAGATAATTAACCTTTTGGGCTCCACGACCTATGACATCTGATTATCTGACTAGCGCAACCAAACAACCAAATTGACTCTGGAACAATTGAGGTCACACTGAATAAATGAAGTTCCCTTTCTCATACATACATATGTAAGGCTAAAGTGGCCACCAAACGTATTATACACTGGAATACATATCCAGTTGAATTTTTAATATATATGATTAATAATTTGCTACCACAAAAAATAATAAATTATCACAAAAAATGCCAATATTCAAAACCTTTCCACCACACCAATATCATCTGCAAATTCTCTTATCCATTGGGAAATTGCCTTTCCTATTATGTACAAAAATCAAATTTTTGCACTGGATATAAAACCACCACTCTGTCTCATCAATTAACTTGCCCTATATTAATAAACATATCACTTAGCAATAAAGTTTTATCTTAAAAATACCCATAAACAATAAATAAACCCTATGTAACATTAACTGCAAAATAAAAACAAATATTAGAAGCTCTAAACATAACATTAGAAAAAAAAAAAAAAAAAAAAACTATAAAAAGTAAATACAGTCATTATCAATCTATTTGATAAGTGATGATTCATTCAGCCAATGTAAAATCTTACTTGCTAGTCACTTGTCTATAAAGTATAAAAGTGAACAGCAAGTTTTAAAGGTATTTGAATATGGGAAAAAGATAATGTGGCCATAAAATTTTGGAGCTGAAGAAAGATTAGAAGTATAGGTGAAAGCATATGACTAAAAACTGTCAACTCACAATTACTATATATATATATATATAAAATTAAAGTGGATTCTGACTCCTATTTGAACCATAAGCCTTATACCTCCAAGTTGTACAACCTATTACTTTGAGCTGAGTTTACCATTTAATATTTCATTGTATTAAAAGCAATCAAAGTCAATTTTCCATCTTGTGCAATCTAACAAAGTCAAGTATATATTTGTAGAATACACAACTCATCATGACTACAATTTCCTATGCAATCCAAGTCCCACTGTGGATAATCAATTGCAAATGATTTACTTCATTTGCATTCGAGTACACTGACTTTCACTAATCAAAGACGTCCAGACTTGGGCAGTGGTTGGTTAGTCAGCTGGCTCTTTCAAAAGTAATCATGGTCAACTGATAGTTTTGTTATTCAAGCATTCGGTTATGTCAGAAGGCAAGTAAACAGAGATATGCATCGGCTTAGTCAAGTCTGGTCCAAGGTCACTAATGAGCTGAAAAGTACATTTAGAATGAAGACCAGGAACTATACAAACCCAAGAAGATGGAAAGATCCCAAGATTAATGTAAACAGGTCGAAATATATAAGAGTGGATGCAGAAAAGTTCTTTCACTGACCATTAAAAAAATAAAATAAAAATATATGCTGGGAAATATTACCAAGAATAGGTCAGGTCAGAGATTGCTGCTGGTATCATGTAACTCAGTAAAACCTGTCAGATGTTGCTTGGTGCAGCTAAGTGCTTGCCATGGATCTAAGAAATCTCACATGTTGAATTGAAACGAAGTGTGCTATAAAGAGAAAAAAAATATAGGTAATTTGATAAAGAACTTAAATCGCAATATTTTTCTTTTTTAGTTACTTTGTTATAGGCATTGTTATAGGACATAGTAAGCAGCTATTGCATGGAATGCAGGTTCAAGCCTTGTTCAAAGTGATTTCTTTGTTTCAAACTAGAAGTTTAATGCCTGGATTGATTGATTGATTCTTTGTTTTTATGGTTTATCAACCTTTATCAGATTATTTAAATGGCAGAACACATTCTTTGATTGTAATCATTTTTGGAAGATAATGATTTCCTGATACAAGTCCTACAAGCTAATTAACCCATAGCTGGGGGGGAAGAGGTAGATTCATCTCTTTCTTCAATTTCAAGCAGTTATTCATTACACCATCCACAAGTCTTTGCTTACAGCACCTGATATTTCAAAATGGTCACCCATCTAGTTACTGAGCAAGCTCAGTGTTGCTTTAACTTTTTCTCATATGAGAATCCGAGTTTCAATTTTATATAGCCATAAGCTGTTTAAAGCCTGGCTTGATTTGTTTTATGACATATCAATGTCAATTGGTTATTTAATGTCGATAAGATTTTTACAATAGATTCATATGAATAGAATATGTATTCTTTTTAAGATATCAGTTTGTAGATCAGGTTTCATTGATGTATTTTTGTAAAGAGGGATTTTGTTGACAGTCTGGTTTCATTGTTTTATTCTTTTCAGATATACAGTTTGTTGGGAAATTGATTTTATTGACATTCTCATTTGGATTATATTCTTTTTGTAAAGGCTCCCTTTTTTAAGAAATTATATTATCTCATCCTATTTTGTTTTCTCAAAGATCTCATACATGTTTAAATTATAACATTTTCATCTTGAGAGAGCTTGGTCTGAACACTCTGTTAATGTGTTTATAGTGTATGCTATTTCCCTTGCTTGACATAGAGGCTTATTTTCATTGTTCAGCAAGTATGAGTGTGATAATCTCATCTGGCCAACGTGAAATCTAGCCAGTACTACTACTACTATTTTGAGATTTTCTGAAAGTTAACTTCCATTCTCCTAATTTGGGCTGAAATTCAATGAGCTTATTGTGTGGGTTATCATCCCAGCACTGTTGCCATTTCTTTTGCATGTATTTGTTAATGACCTCCTTAAAGTCAGTTTATGGGATTTTCGTTGTTTATTTTACATCCATATCTAAAGCTGATTTGGCTGCTTGGTCTGCTTTATTGTTACCTTCCATTCGGATGTAGCTAAGAATCAAACACAGTTTGATGTCTTTATGTTTGCAACTAATGCTCATTTTACATAATTAATTCGATAATGAGTGGGTTGTTGGATTTTTTCCTTTGAAGTCATTAGGATAGTGTTATATTGGAACATACCTATTCTATTGTTAATAGACTCTCCCATATATAATAAGTAGTAGTAGTAGTCGCGAAGGGGCTCAGTGAGTTGGTGAGTCAGTCGATGTTAGACATTAACACCACAACTAGATTGCTGCGTCATTAACTATTATAACAAGTTCCTAACGTTTTGTACGTCGAACCTTTTTAGGACCGACTTAGTGAAATACAAGCCTCCACTGAGAAATTACTCTACAACAGATAGTGAGCCTGAAAATATTAAATTTTTTTGTTTCCTACGTTTGATAAAGTTGGGAGCTGGCTCTATTGCATAAGCCTCCACAGTAAATATAGGGCTTCCATTTGGGAGGTGCTTTGTTTGATAATATTTTGGCTCACTGCTGCATATCCCATCTTGTCCTCACACACTGGCCTACCTGTATAAATGGCTGTATGATTAGCATAGTTTTCCAATATGTCCTGAAACTTGTCCTGGTGTGACTTTTGTTTAAGGAGTTTATTTAACTTTAGTAAGACTTTGAGTTGCTTTATTATACAAGATGGAATACTGTCTGCAGTTGTTTCTTGTATGTTAGAGAGTGAAGTCCCTAACTCTTCAGCAATGAATTTCATCCTCAGTCCATAGGTTTGTATTGTATTGTCTTTTCGTTGGAATAGAGCACATAATTCAGTTCAAATGTACTGCTGTAAGCCGGGTTAGTTGGGTATGATTTTATTTTAACATAGTACTGTAGTGCCAGTTTAGTGCACCTTAACCGTGGTGGGATTTCATTAGCTTCTGTGTATAAGTTCACCCCCTGGGGATATCCTAAAAGCCCCAAGTACTAGTATGAGGCTTTGATAATAAGTTGTTAACTATTTTTAGTTATGATTTTATGATTGCCCCATTTCTGAAACTAACATAATCCAGTTTTAAGCAAAGTAGTGATCTGTATAATTTAATTTAATGTTTGTCAATCTGCTCCCTATTCAGTATGGGTTACCACATGCAGAAGATAGAGGACTTTACTGCATTTTAGTTTTAAATATTTTAGATGAAGAATAAATGTTAACTTTTTTGTCAAAAATGATGCCTAGGAACTTTTGTTCCACTACTGAGATCTCTGCTCAGTCAAAATTTAAACAGGGGTCATAGTGCAATTTTCTCAATTTGCACAAGTGAAGGCATTTAGTTTTTGTTTTGGAAAATGTAAAACCATTTTCCATGACCCATTTGTGTATTTTATTGAGGCATTGTTGGAGTTGTCTTTCTAAGGTACGCATATGTCAAGATCTGTACATTATTAGAAAGTCGTTGATATATAGGGAGCATCTCACTCCTGGGCTTAGGGATTTAACTATGGAGATAATTTTATGCAGGGTCAGTGAAAGAATTCTTCCTTGTGGATCGCCTTCTCTTTGATTTTGCAGTTCAGATAACGTAGTTCCTATATGGACTCAAAATCTTTGGTCTTCTGGGAAATTCTCTATGAATTGAATCGGTCTTCCTTTTAGGCACAGTTCTTGCAGGTCTTTCAAGATACCAAATTTCCATGCATAATATGCCTCACAGAAGTCAAAAAAAGACTGCTGTAAGATCTTCCTTCTTAATGAAGTCTTCCCTTACAAAGGTTTCTAGGCATACTAAGTGGTCAATAGTGCTTCTATTTTCCTAAAAGCACATTGGAAATTACTGATTAAGCCTTTAGTTTCCAGGTACCAAATCAACCTATTGCTGACCATTCTCTACATAGCATTAACCAGTTGCCTTCATAAAACTATCAGCCTGTAGTTTTCAGTGTCTGCATCATTCTTTCCAGGTTTTGGAATAGGGATGATGAATGACTGTCTCCACAGTTCTGGGAAGTTGCCATTTGTCCATATGTTATTATGCATTTTTAATAATAGTTGTAATGATTTGTTGGGTAACTGTTTTATAAATTCATAGTGGATATCATCTGGGCCCACACAGATATTGTGGGCTTTCTTTAAACATTCATTTAGTGTAAATGATAGGTTATAGTTCTTGGCATTATTTCATTTAAAGTTTAATTTTTCCACTTTTTGCTTGAGCTTTAGAAAATGTTGGCTACCATTCTTAGCAGCTGAATTTTTAGAGAGGGTTTTGGCTAATTGGTCAGCAATATCCTTTTTACTGGTTATTTTAGAATTATTTACTGAGGTGTTTGTTTTTTGCCTGCCATTTTCTTTATCATATTCCAGACAGATTTTGTTTTAGTAGTAG